CATTTATAATTATTTTTTTCTGATACTGCAGATATCTGGCAACACACTTTTCCAATTATCTAATTACAAACTTTTTATTTCATAAAAACGAAGCATTATACGAAACTAGTTTTCATTAAAAACTTTTTTTCTCAAGAACAATTCCATTCATTGTTTGAGATATATCATTAATCTTTAGCATTATCATCAATAACTATAATTAATATTTGCAATGCACATGCGCATGTTACTACCTATTACCGTGCTGAGGGCAAAATATTGAACTGTGTACATTTTCGCGTTATTCGGTGGAGTGGTTTAGGCGTGATGCTCCGAGCCCGTACAGACTTTCACATTTATATATAGAGATTCATTTTTTTTGCGTCTGATATTTCAGATATCTGGCCACACCGTTTTTCCAATTTTCTCTTTACAAACCTTCTACAGACAGAACGACACATAATGAAATTGAAACGAAGCAAATACGTTGAGCCGTTCTTGAGTTATACGATAACACACGAACAGCAACTCATTTTTATATATATAATAAGATTTGTTATAAAACAAGTATTGCAAAATCGACATTTGTTGTAAAAAAAAACCGTTCCTATTACCGTTCTGAGGGCAAAATATAGAACTGTGTACATTTTCGCGTTATTCGGTGGTGTAGTTTAGGTGTGATGCTCCGACCCCGACATTCGCGGTCGCCCCTCTGTTGGTAATAATAAACTTCCGAGTGTATTCTGTCATGAAAACAGCTTCTCATAAAAATACAATTGCCGTTCGGAGTCGTCGTAAAACTGCCCAAATCAAGGCGCACGCCCCATATCGGAGGAGAAGCTAGGCCAAACACTAACATATTGTGTAAGCGGCAATCTGTATATCGTCGTTTAAAGTACAAAAGTGCTTATCGTGGTTCTGCAAAACCTCGTAACTGACATTTGTGTCAAAAATGATATTTGCTCACCGGGAGCTCCTATCATCAAGCCCTTAATCATTTATACTAAAATATCGATACTTAGAGATAAGAAGAAGAGATAATTAAGTTTAAAAGTGAGAACAGTTTTGAATTATGACAAGTTTTACTCTCTCCTACAAAATTTAGGCAACCTCAAATGCGAGGTTTTGTGTTTTGATGATACGCGGTTACGTACTTAAAACAACGACACCTATAGGTATTGCATACATATTTTCGTGCCTTTTCAAGTATGAAATCCATTGAGAAACGAAAGAAAACGGCATCCCTGTGATTTAAACTTATGCCAAACGTTTGTAATATGAAAGACAAAAAACATAAACAAGCAATTTCTGAACAAAAACTGTTTATCCACAAAGATGTTTGAATGGAAGCATTACACATTTAAAGAAATAGCAATCCACAAGGCTTTATTGGCAGTAGGTCCTTTTTAAAGCACATAAAAAAAATAAGCTTCTAGTTTCGAAGTTAGCACAAAATGCAATTTTTTTGTTTGTTGTTTACAAAAAAATACTTGCCAAGTATATAAGTATTTTTTGTAAACAACAAACAAATACAAATAGTTTGTGCTAGCTTGGAAAGTAGAAGCTTTTTTTTTTTTGAAATGTTCTTTAAAAAGGACAAGAACTGGTTGAAGTGTCCTTCTCCTCCTGCCATAAATCATTGTGGATTGCTATTTTTATATGTGTACAACTTCCATTTAAATATCTTTGTGGAAAAACAGGTTTTTTGTTCAGAAATTGCTTGTTAATGTTTTTTCTCTTTCATATTAAAAACGTTTGGCATAAGTTGAAATTATAGGGATGCCGTTTTCTTCCGTTTCTCAATAGATTTTATACTTGAAAAACCACCAAAATATTTATGTAATACTTCAACATTTATAGATTGCCGCTTAAACAATATGTTTGTGTTTGACTTAGCTTCTCCTCCGTGCTTTTTGGCGTGTGTCTTGATGTTGTCACACAAAGGGGAGGGAGCTACAGTTTTACGTCGACTCTGAACGGCGATTGTATTTTTATGAGAAGCTTTTTTTCATGGCAGAATACGCTCGGAGGTTTGCCATTGCCTGCCGAGGGGCAACCGCTATTAGAAAAAAACGTTCGGAAACTGGTCTTCAACTTAGGCCCTATGAAATGGTAGTGCGGAATGCTAACAATTACTCCACAGCGGCCGCCACTACTTCTACATATGTATGTGCAAGTATATTTATTCAAAATACATCAGAGTATATATACTTATGTATATTGAAAAGAGATACGATTAGAAAGTGTACCCAAAATTCAGGAGCGGATGAAAAAGTTCTTATAGCCCGAACACAATGAAAACGACGAGCTACAAACCACAGCTGTCAAATTATTTTAACACGTACTCTTATGTAGATAATTATTTTGGCGACGACCGGGCTACGCGACGGCTGTGGTTGTGGCCAGATTAGATCTATTTCTATTTTTCTGGCGACAGATAAGGTTCTTCCTCTTCTTTTATGTCAAACTCATACAAATTCATGATGTCGCTGCCGCGTTCAAAGAAATCATGTTGCCATCGACAAAGCGCTTAGATAATAAAGATGACAAATTGGAAGCTGTGGTCGGTAGCTCGTCGTTTTCAATGTGTTCACTTATTATGAATTAAAAAAATATAACTTTTGTAAATCTCAATTCGAAAAGAAGAAACGACTGGCTAGCTTTATTAGATTTGGCAAAAAATTCTTAAGCGGTTACAGCGCTAACCAAAAGAATGAGAAGTAATAACAATGCGGTCTTGGGCGGTGGTTTCGGTAAGAGCGAATTTTATTCGCGCGAATTCTCGCGACATTGCTTTGACAGTGAAATGCCTACATTTGGAATGTGGTGGTTTCGGTAAGCCAATTAACCAATGTATGCAAATACACTAAAAACGAGTTCGCGCAAATACAATTCGCATTTACCGGAACCGCCACCATATGCATTCGGTTTGAAAGAAGCATGAGACCATACAATTTTTGTTTTTTTTTGTTAATTCTCTGAACATTTTATGATATGCAGTAGTTTGCAAAAATTGTCCTGCGCTGTTTTCTTTGATTTCGAATTGAAAATACATTACAATTATATTGTACCAAAACAAGAGTGGTATCCCTGCATTTTGTAAAAGCCAGAAAGAAGCATCAACTGTGTGAAAAATTGAAAGGGAGCAGCATACATGCCTTCTATAATTTTTACTTATATATTTGGCAAGTCTTTTTTGTAAACAACAAAATATACACATTTTCGTTTCTTTGTCAGCTTGGGCATTATAGGCCTATTTTTACTAAAATGTGATAAAAAGCTCATTAAAACTTTGTGTAATGTCTTGCTTTTTAGTTTGTTATCATACCGCTTGGTATTTTTATTGTCTACCATAGGTGAGTTGCTTCTATATAAAAAATTCTAGCACAGATAATTTCTTTGTTTTGAATTTGTTTGTTTGACATGGATGTGAAAACTTGAATGTTAGAGTTGCCACTTTCCTCATTTTAGGCGGTTTTTTGTACTAAAATGCATCAAAACGGAGAAAAACTTCATTGATATCCCTGCATCTGTTAAACTTCTCATGGTATGTATGAAAATCAAACATGCTATAATTTCATATGCTTCACAGTATCACAACAGTATGTTTACAGTAGCTCCGCATCATTATTCATATGAAAAAATGTACCATATGCACCCCACTCGATACCATTGAATTCCCCCTCTATTTTTAAACGACTTCCAAAAAAGGAGGAGGTTATCAGTTCGTCGGAATATGTTTTTTTTTATGTATGTTACCGCATAACTTTGGACCACGTCAACCGATTTCGATAATTCTTTTTGCAACGGAATGGTAGTGTCTCAGAGGTGGTCCTATACTAATTTGGTTTAGATCCGATCATTGAATCATGAAATATATAGATATATATATATTTTTTTAAGTCGGTTTTTTTTGCTAAAAATTACTTGTAGCATATCAACTGTTCATATGGCTTCATACCATATAAATGCACCATAACTTAATTAAAAAAGATGCGATCAGTAACATATGAATGCTGATTTTAAAAACGAAAATAATAATGTTAAAATATCTGACATTTTTGTTGGAAGGAAAGCTGGGATATTAATACTAAGTAATGTCAATTGTTCTGGAATCCTTGAAGTTAAAACAAATATATTAAAGCTTTACATAGAGTTTTTGACCAAATGAATTTAAGATTTGATTTCAAGCGTGAAGATATAAAAATTTTACAAATAATGACAACAGCTAAGGTAGTTTGTACAGAAGATTTACCAATTTTACCTCTTTTGTTAAAGTTTCCCCATCTCATAGATTGCGATTATGATATAATAACCACGCAGTGGAATTTACTGAGGCTAACGCTGCGTTCACATAAGACAATTTTAGGCAAGACAATTGAGAATATGTATCAAATTATTGTGTAAATTAGGCGTCCCGACAATTATAAAGACAATGCATTTTTCAGAAACCGCAGTTAGTTTCGTTTGGCGTGAACTTCACATTATCTACTAAAATATCCAAACACAAACCACTTTTCATAATTCTGCGATTTTTTGCGATTTTGCCTTTCCTCTTTTTCTCAAATTAACCAGGGCATGGCCGAATTGTCCAATTTAGTGTCCAACTTACTGTCTTCGAAAAATCAGAGACAGTGACGAAGACAATGAGAGAAGTGTGAATGCATTAGTGAAACAGTGTGAATGTATTGCTATTGTATTGACAAAATTGTCTCATGTAAACGCCGTGTAAGGGATGGTGCGTTTGCATGGTATGAATCTGGTTATAAGCCGTATGAATTTTTCTATGAAGAAATGAATGCAAGCGATATATATTTAACAATTTTGACTTATATACTTGGCAAGTATTTTTTTGTAAACAACAAACACAAAAATTTAATTTTGTGCTAACTTCGAGACTAGAAGCTTATTTTTTTATGTGCTTTAAAAGGGACTGTTGATGAAGGCAACCCTGAATAATCGATATTGGTCACTCTTTGTTCTATGTTTTTGTTATCCCTAACTCATGTATTAGTTATTATTAGTTTGTCTATTCCGTATTTCTGGCCGGCTATTAACAGTAAATTCTATCTAAGAAATTTAATATAAATTGGCTCTTCCATTTGTCAAAAGCTAATATTGTTCTGTCCGCAGCTTAGAAGAAAGCCGAAAGCGAGTAATTTGACTGTAATATAAATATTTATTTGCTATTGTAACTCTACATATTTACAGAGAATAAACCATGCCACGTCTTCTATAGTGAAGTTTGCGTTTCATTCTTTAAGCTATTTATGCGAACGGACAACTTTATTCTTCGCTTCATTTGCAGCAGATTGCCCCTTTTGCTCGTCACCGTTTTTTGGATCTTGTTTTTCTCGTCGCATTGCCTGTGATTTTTTGGAGTCGAATTGCCTAAAATTTCTGCATATACCGGCAGAAGTAAGTTTGTATATGCCTTTATTCTCGGTTTACGCCAGAAACGCGAAGGAGCACGCGAGAGAACAAGGGAATCCCGCCGCAACGGTACGCAATGCCAGATTCGCCGCATGCAGCAAAGGCCCCTAAGCAGCCTCAACCCCCTACTGGAAGGAGTCAAACTGAAAATTTGCCACAGCAGTCTGACTCTGCTAGAAATTTGAAGGAAATGCAAAGGGAATTCCAGAGACAAATAGCCGCTCTGCAAAATCTAATCGTCAGCCAGAATGAGCAAAATAAGTCCAGCGTTAACGCCCTGCGCAACGAAGTTCAGGCCATTGCCAGAACGGTTGCTACCAACGGAAATAATGAGTCTTCCACAAACCTTATGCCCCCAAACGACACAAATGCCCAACGTCAAGCAAGTCCCGCGCAACCAAATGGCGCGAACGCCCAAGCACATCCTGATGCTACACTTGGTGAGTCTTTTTCTACCCCCCACAGCTGCGCACCAGCCAAAGCAAAAAAATCTATCCCTTACCGAAATTCGGAGGTCAGCCAGAAGAATGGCAAGCATTTATTGAAGATTTCAGAAGCACCACCCTCGAATTGGAGTACAGCGATATACATAACATAATGCGGATTAGAGAAGCATTGCATGGAAGCATTGCTAGAGATACAGTGGAGTCGTTACTAACATCCTCGAAAAGTGTAAGCGCTATAATTGAAGTTCTGTCGGAAACTTACGGACGTCCGGAGTTGCTAATAAAAAGCCGAATTGAAAAGGTTAGGTTAATTTCTAACGTGCCGGAAGGAAAGCTCGAGCCGTTAATAAATTTCGCGATTAAAGTCAATAATATGTCGACATTTTTGAAATCCGTGCAAGGAGATCACCATCTAGCCAACCCGTCTTTATTGAGCGAGTTAGTAACAAAGCTACCTACCTCTAAGCAAATGCAGTGGGCGGAGAAATGTCTTTCGTTGGATGCCCGAATGTAGAAGACTTCAGTAAGTGGTTGAACGCTTTGCGAAAACTTGCGAATATGGTAACCGGCAGTTTACCGTCTGCGACGGCTGCTGGTAGCCGCCGTACTCAAGACGTTGCGCCACATCCNAAATTTGAAGGAAATGCAAAGGGAATTCCAGAGACAAATAGCCGCTCTGCAAAATCTAATCGTCAGCCAGAATGAGCAAAATAAGTCCAGCGTTAACGCCCTGCGCAACGAAGTTCAGGCCATTGCCAGAACGGTTGCTACCAACGGAAATAATGAGTCTTCCACAAACCTTATGCCCCCAAACGACACAAATGCCCAACGTCAAGCAAGTCCCGCGCAACCAAATGGCGCGAACGCCCAAGCACATCCTGATGCTACACCTGGTGAGTCTTTTTCTAACCTTTCCTCTAACCCCCACAGCTGCCCACCAGCCAAAGCAAAAAAAATCTATCCCTTACCGAAATTCGGAGGTCAGCCAGAAGAATGGCAAGCATTTATTGAAGATTTCAGAAGCACCACCGTCGAATTGGAGTACAGCGATATACATAACATAATGCGGATTAGAGAAGCATTGCATGGACGAGCTAGAGATACAGTGGAGTCGTTACTAACATCCTCGAAAAATGTAAGCGCTATAATTGAAGTTCTGTCGGAAACTTACGGACGGCCGGAGTTGCTAATAAAAAGCCAAATTGAAAAGGTTAGGTTAATTTCTAACGTGCCGGAAGGAAAGCTCGAACCGTTAATAAATTTCGCGATTAAAGTCAATAATATGTCGACATTTTTGAAATCCGTGCAAGGAGATCACCATCTAGCCAATCCGTCTTTATTGAGCGAGTTAGTAACAAAGCTGCCTACCTCTAAGCAAATGCAGTGGGCGGAGAAATGTCTTTCGTTGGAGCGATGCCCGAATGTAGAAGACTTCAGTAAGTGGTTGAACGCTTTGCGAAAACTTGCGAATATGGTAACCGACAGTTTACCTTCTGCGACGGCTGCTGGTAGCCGCCGTACTCAAGACGTTGCGCCACATCCTCATCCACCGAAAGCTAATAAGTATTCTTTTTTAAGCGTTGCTCAAAGCAATTGTAGTGTTTGTCAGGGTGAATGCGCAGCACTTAACGCGTGCCCGCAGTTTATTTGTCTGGGCGTCGATGACCGATGGAAAAAAGTGAAAGAACAAGACGTTGCGCCACATCCTCATCCACCGAAAGCTAATAAGTATTCTTTTTTAAGCGTTGCTCAAAGCAATTGTAGTGTTTGTCAGGGTGAATGCGCAGCACTTAACGCGTGCCCACAGTTTATTTGTCTGGGCGTCGATGACCGATGGAAAAAAGTGAAAGAACTACGAATTTGCTTTTCATGCCTTAAGCCAAATCAGTTATGTAAAAAGACGTTGTGGGATAAACGATTGCGCGCGTTTACATAATCGTCTACTACATCCTAACGAAATCCGCCATAATGGTCAGTCGAACTTGCAGCAATCAGCGGAGACAACAGTTGCCAGTCTGATCGACCGTAGAAATTGTCATGCTGATACAAAAAACGATGGAGTACTCTTTCAAATCATCCCAGTCAAGCTCTACCATGACAACAAAGTCTCAATTTATGCTATGGTCCACGACGGGGCGGATGGTACTATGTTTGATTGGAATATAGCAAATGAACTTGGTCTTAAGCGCTCCAAAGACTCGGAGTCTCATCCCATGAGTCGACAGAAGTTGTGCAATTAACCATAACTGGCACTGAAGCTGAAAGCCAACGGTATTTGATGTCTAAAGTATTTTTATCGAACAAGCTAGCTTTGCCGATACCAAGTTCTTTAAAAGAAACAAATACAAATACAAATATAAAAATGTACATCCGAAAATGATAATAAGTCTTTTGCATGCATATTTAACTACTCCTGTAGATATACCACGGTCATCTTGCAACCCTGGCCCTATTGCTGTAAGAACGAGGTTAGGATGGATAATTTACGGTCCTTTCGGAGAAACCGCGGGGTCCACAGGAAACACCACGAGTGGACCTGGGGACCTACCAACGGGTGAACCCGAAACCGCGTCAGATACTGAGAGCGACACGAGCTCAGTATCTGCCTACGTAGGGTCGGGATACAGCCGGTGGGCAATGCTGAACGAGGACCAGCTTCTGGACTCCGAACCGGAGGAGGAGGTTAATGACACCACAGTCATTGCCGCCGCCGAACGGGAGGAGCTAGAAGCGATGGACATCACCGACTCTGAGGATGGTGCAGATCCTACAAATTAATCTGCACCATTCCAAGGCAGCCTCGGCTGCCCTTCATCTTCGCCTCCGCAATAAAGCTGAGGACTTGATTCTAGTCCAAGAGCCTTGGATCGTTAGAAACAAGGTTTGCGGACTGAACTCTGATGCCTACCAGGTTGTAACAGCTCCAGTAGCAGGTAGGATCAGAGCTTGCATTCTGATTAAAAAAGTATATTCTTATTTTTTACTCTCCCAATACAGCGACGAGGACACTGTCTGCATCAGCGTCCAGCTGAAGGAGAGCGTGATCTGGCTGGCAACATCCTACATGGCCCACGACAGCCATGTTTTTCCACCCTACAGACTGGAAGAAGCTGTGAAGGAAGCAAATCGCAGGAAACTCCCGGTCATAATAGGGGCAGACTCTAACTCGCATAACACGAACTGGGGCTCAAGCGACAGCAACTCTCGAGGTGAGTGTTTACTTGACTTTGTTCTTTATATAATCTTACCGCGGGCGCGACCCCTCTTTTGTGACCTCTGTTAGAAACGAAGTGCTGGACATCACCCTTGTTTCGAGCGGTTTGTCTGATCAGATAAGGAATGGCAGGTGTCCAAAGAACACTCTTTCTCTGACCATCTCTACATTAGCTTTAAGCTCAATTTTGATCCTGCTCCTTTAACAGCATACAGGAACAAGAAGCGAACCGACTGGGCAAAGTATAAAAATACGCTGTCGGTCTCTCTACACAGATACGCTTCTTACGATAAGTCGTGCTTATCGTTAGGATCTGATGAAGCGAGTCTCTCGAATACGAAGGTTGTTTCTCTCGGTGAGCTGGACTCATCGTCAAAAATTGATGAAGCAGTGAACTTTGTGACAAATGCCTGTAATGCTGCTTTCAAAGCCTCCTGCCCAAGCACCCTCCCGAAGGGCAAAAAGAAACCCCAGTGGTGGAATCCTGAGATTTCAGCACTGAGGAAGAACAGCAGGAGGCTTTTCAATCAAGCTAAACGAACAGGTCTTTGGCAACCATACAAAGACGCACTCAAAGTTTTCAAGAAGGCCATAAAGAGGGCGAAACGCGAATCTTGGCAAAACTTCTGCGACAACATAGAAGAGAACTCTGAAGCCAACAGGCTGAGGAAAGTTCTCTCAAAATCCTCTTCAAGTATGAACTCTATCCAGAAGCCTAACGGTGACTGGACGACATCATGTAGCGAAATGTTGGAGGTCCTTATGAGCACTCACTTCCCGGGCTGCTCAGATGACACCCCCGATTTTTCGCCCGGTCCTAGGACCTACTTGTCTCTGGGTGATACCGTTGGGGACATCGTAAGTGAGGAGAGGGTGGAATGGGCTTTAATGTCCTTTCAGCCCTACAAATTTCCTGGCCTTGACGGAATCTTTCCCGCTAAACTACAGGAAGCTAAGGACATACTATGTCCCATGCTTTCTCAGATTTTTACAGCCTGCCTAACACTGACTCACATACCACACGAGTGGACAAAGGCAAAGGTTGTATTCATACCAAAAGGAGGCAAGGCCGCTCATGTGAAACCGAAGGATTTCAGGCCTATAAGCCTCACCTCGTTCTTCCTCAAAACTCTAGAGAGGCTCATCGACGAATATATTCGACGGAATATTAAAGCTGACAACCTCTCCTCGAATCAGCATGCATATTCCAAGGGGAAATCCGTGGAGACCGCACTCCATGAAATCGTAGCGACGATTGAAAAAGGATTGGCCTTAAAGGAATACACGCTCGGAGTTTTTCTCGATATCGAGGGTGCTTTCAACAACGTCTACCCGAAGTCTGTTGTTAACTCCCTTCTTATGGCGGGGGTGCAGCGAGGTCTGGTGGATTTTGTTGAGCTCCTTCTCGGAAAGAGAACTATTCTATCAGAACTAGGGGATGGTTCCATTACAAAGTATGTGACCAGGGGCACCCCCCAAGGGGGCGTTCTCTCCCCTCTACTCTGGAATCTAACAGTGAACACCATACTTCTAAGCCTAAAGAGCACCGGTTGTCAAGTCATAGCGTACGCCGATGACATAGCAATCGTTGCAACGGGCAAACATCTTCAGGTCCTGAGTGAGTTGTTGCAAAACGCACTCGGTCTGGTAAACATCTGGTCCAAGGAATGTGGACTTAATGTCAATCCTGCCAAGACAGAAATGGTACTTTTCACAAGGAAGTATAAAACTCCCTTATTTAAACCTCCCGCCCTAAACGGGGTGGCACTCACTCTCTCAACCGAGGTGAAATACCTTGGTGTTATTCTGGACAGGAAGCTGAACTGGAAGCGAAACACTGAAGACCGCTCGAGGAAGGCCAATACTGCCCTGTATGCCTGCAAAACGGCTATAGGCAAAAAATGGGGAATAAAACCACATATAGTACACTGGATGTACACAGCTGTGATAAGACCCATCCTTTTCTACGGGGTCACCGTATGGTGGCCTGCTCTAAACAACACCGTATCCAGAGCCAAGGTGGAACGTGTGCAGAGGACGGCTGCCNCGAAACACTGAAGACCGCTCCAGGAAGGCCAATACTGCCCTGTATGCCTGCAAAACGGCTATAGGCAAAAAATGGGGAATAAAACCACATATAGTACACTGGATGTACACAGCTGTGATATGACCCATCCTTTTCAACGGGGTCACCGTATGGTGGCCTGCTCTAAACAACACCGTATCCAGAGCCAAGGTGGAACGTGTGCAGAGGACGGCTGCCATGCTCGTCACGGGAGCCCTGCCCACTACACCCACCAAATCCCTGGAAATAATCTTAAATCTTCCACCTGTGGATCTCTACGGCAAATTTCAGGCCGGCTGTAGTGCGGCCAGGCTAAATACAATCCAGCCGTGG